AGAGAGAAAGAGAAAGTGAGAGAAAGAGAGAAAGAGAAAGAGAGAGAGAAAGAGAGAGAGAAAAGAGGAGAGAGCGCATGAGAGAGAGAAAGAGAGAGAGAAAAGAAAGAAAAAGAGGGAGAAAGAGGGAGAAAAACGAGGAAGAGAGGAAGACAGAGAAAAAAGAGAAAGAGAGAGAGCGAGATAGCCTATGAGAAAGAGAGTGAGAGCAAGACAGACAGAGAGAGAGAGAGAGAGGGAGGGAGGGAGAGAGAGAGATTTGTTTCCCCTGCCCTATCAAACTAGTGGGACTCAGAGTTAGGTACCATCTGAGGCTGGCAAGAAAGCAGCGGCAGGCTTTTGCCAGAGTCTGCAAAAGAGCGAGCGAGAAACAAGCGAGCCGCGCATCTGCATGAGAAAAGACATTCTTGGCCGCAACCTCCTCTTTTCAGCGGGGCGACCCCTGAAGGTGGTTCTCTTTGCGGCCTCCTTATGGAATTGGTACAGCGCAGCCAGACGATTTTGCTGGCCATTGTATGACCCACCCCCCCACCCAGCATTTCATACTGCAGGGATTAGACACCGGCTTGACGCTCCCCAGGGGGATGGGAACGATACCAAGCCTTCCCCTCTGCCTTTCCCTCTTGAACTGTAATAGATGGGGTATGTCTGCCTAAATTGGAACAGTGTAATCGCCTGCTTTCAAAAGAGGCCCGGCTGCAGGAGCGTCTGGCTTGTTTCAAACCTTATGGGAAGGTGTCAAAATAGAGGAGGGGGGGGCGATTCCAACCTGAGGAAGCCATTTCATGCAGAATCCATTCGTTTTATGTGGAACTGGTTTAGTTTTGATTAAAACTAAACTCGCATCCTTCTTTCTCTCTTTTTTTTTCCTTCAAAGCTTGCAATTGGGTGCTTAGAAGATAGGTTATTCGGTAAAGAAGCTTCAATACACGCGAGCGCATATAGGCATACATGGGTGTATGCGTAGATCTTTTTTTGTTGGCAGGGTAATAGATTTGAGTACTGTAGCAGCAACGGCCTCATCATTTTAATAGCTTTTCCTGGCAGGCATTTGCTTTAGCACGCAAGGTTGTAGATGGCTACCCAGCCTTCCAGCTCCATATTTGCATCCCAATTTTTGTAAAACACACACATACACACAAAAAAGAGAAATTAAAATGTGTCTAGTTTTAATATGATAAATAGGAAAGGAAGGCGTCCATAATCTGTATAATTTTCCCTTCTGTTTTCCATCTATTTATATTACTTACTTACTTACTTACTTAGTTTATTGATTAGCCCTTGGGCTATATCAAAGTGCAGAGTTCCAGACATAAATTATAACTAAAATCTGATAAAAGGAATTTAAAATGGAATTGGGTAAAATACAATTTAAAATGAAATTGGAATAAAATATAGTTTAAATGAAATTGGAATAAATTAAAATAATTTAATATATAGATAAATAAAATATGATAAAATTATATTTTGGTGACTCCCCTACAATCTACCCCAGTCAGTATTTATTTAATGGAACTTCCGAATGGCTTCAGTCAAATGTGGCTAACTGTAATAGGTAGTCCTCCACTTACAACAGTTCGCTTAGAGACAATTTGGCATTGAAAAAAAGCGACTTGTGATCATTTTTCACGCAACTGTTGTCTCCTGCCCATGGCCAGGTGATCAAAATTCAGAGGCTTGGTAACTGGTTCATGTTTATGATGGCTGTAGTCTCCCGGGGTCAGCTTCATAAACTTTTGTGAACTTCTGACAAGCAAATCCAATGGGGAAACCAGATTCACTTAACAACCGTGTTGCTAATTTAGCAACTGTACTAACTCACTTACGAACTGTGGCAAGAGAGGTCATAAAATGGGGAAAAAACCTACTTGACAAATGACTCATTTAGCAACAGAAATTTTGGGCTCAATTGTGGACCTATGTCAAGGACTACCTGTAGCACAATAAAACAAGAGCAAAAGGATAACCACGAATGATCAACCGAATTGATTGATAAGCAGTATCCAAGAGAACACATTTGCAGCTCAGAAATAATGATGGCATTCAGCCCTGTTATTTATGTTGACACCATCAAGAATCTTATATGCACAAAGATGGGAAGACACATTAATTCCTACCATGAAAATGTGGGTGGTACAGGTGATGTAGTTAGCGGAGATGTGAAATTGATAGTTTTAATTAAAGAAAAATATTTATGTAATTTTGTTTCTGAGCAGTCTGGTGGTGGTAGAGGTAGAACTCTTATCTCACAATTAGGAGGCTATGAGTTCAATCCTAGGTAGCAGCAGATATTTCTTTCTCTGGGCACAATGAGTTATAGTCTGCTGTGAACACTGCATAGGTATCAGGAAGGGCATTTGGCCAGTAAACGCTCAGCTCCTTTCAGTTGCCCTGACTTCACCCTGATGCAAGTGATTATAGAGTTGTTAAAAGGAAAAATAATGTCTAATTTCATTTCTACATGGAAACCGCTTCTGGACTTTTTGCTTGCAACTGAAAAAAAATGAAACTTTGATTTTAGATTATGATGATTAGAATGATTCTGTTATCATCAAAATGGCCTGAAATGTCATGAAATGTAAAAGCAAAAAGTTGAGGTTGCATTGTTTTTGCAATCTACTGCACTGAAGTAGATTGTCATTGCTGCACCGAAGTCAGAAGTCATTCCTTTTTGCTCCCTCTTTTCACTTCTCTCTTTCTTTTCCTTGTTTTTTTTTTAAGTTTTGTTCCTTCTATGAATTTATCTTATAATAAATTATTTTTAAAAAGGAAATAATGAGGGTATTCCCTACTGCAAAAGAGCAGGATTTCAATGCAACATTAATGGGGGCACGGAAGGACAGCTAGCCTATGCTAATTTTGGAGGAACGAATGCAGCTGTCTACTCCTGCTGATAAGTGTGTGTACCATGGATGAACACATCTGGAGGGCACCAGCCTGGAGAAGACCATCACAAAGGCAAAGGTCAAAAAGATGATGCCACAATCAAGTACCTCTATACCCCCCGTCCAGCTGAAGTCTTCTGCTATGAACCAGATTTGTTTAGATTTTTTTTTTCCCTTTGTGGATGAACAAGGAGGAACAGGGCTTTGGGAAAAGAGAGGAGCAAATTATACAACAGTAGCAACTTCTTGACCCCTGCATGTGAAAAGGTATTAACCTTTCACGCCCATGACCTCTCTCATGTGACTGGGGTCAAGAGGATTTTGGAAGGAAAAAAAAGAGACTGTTAAAACTTCAGGAAGTTTTCTCTTTTAAACAAAGGAGGTGCTGAGTCAGGACAGCCTTGCTGCCTCAGATATATCCCACCACTGTGGCCAGATCTTGGAGAACAATAACTACGGTAGAAGAGGCAATGTTGAGTCAAACACACCAGGGGATTGCTACTATATAGAGTTAAGATTGAAGAGTCCCCAGAATTCTGCTTCTGGGCACGGTCTTCTCACATATCAGTGGACGGTACATCTCCAGGTAGTTGGAATAGTGAGGTTTTCTTTCTAAGAAGGAAATGGGATGGAAAATCCATATGCGAATTCTACTTACAGCTCGTTCTTGACTTAGAACTGTTTGTTTATCAACAGTTCAAAGATGCAACACCACTAAAAAAAAGGGGGACTTATGGCCCCCTCCTTGACTTTATGAACATGGCACAATCAAAATCTGGATGCTTGGCAATTAGGGTGTACAGGGAGTCCTGAACTTACAACAGTTCATTTAGCAACCATTCACAGTTAGAACGGCACTGAGAAAAGTGACTTAGGACTGTTTTTCACACTAACCACCATTGCAGCCTCCCCAGGGTCACATGGTCAGAAATCGGATGTTTTGCAACTGACTCATATTTATGACTGTTACAGTGTCCCAAGGTCAGGCAATCCCCTTTTGCAACCTTCTGACAAGCAAAGTCAAAAGGGAAGCCAAATTCACTTAACAACCATGTTACTGATTTAATGACTGCAGTGATTCACTTAACAAATGTGGCAAGAAAGGTGGTAAGTTGGGGCAAAACTCACTTAACAATGGTCTTGCTTAGCAATGGAAATTTCGGGCTCAATTTTGGTCATAAGTTGAGGACTACCAGCATTTATGATGATTGCATAAATTGTAATCCTGGGGTCCTGTAGTTGACATTTGCAACCTTCTAGCTGGCTTCTGAAAAACAAACTCAATGGGAGCAACTGAATTTTCTGTGTAATTCATTTAACAACTGCAGTGATTCATTCGATTCATTGGTAAAATTGGGTATGAATCACTTAACAATCACCAGAAATTCTGGTCCCAATTGTGGTTAAAAGTCAAGGAGTACCAGTAATAATGCACAATGGAATACTAACAATAAAAAAAACTTAAAGCAACACATCTGTTTCTTAAATATATTATGCAGGCAATACTCTGAGGAATGCCATTAGCCCCAATAACCTTATTTAGGAGCCTTGATAGTACAGTGGTTACGCACCCTGTTATTAACACAGCTGCCTGCAATTTACTGCTGGTTCGAATCTCTCCAAGGCTCAAGGTTGACTCAGCCTTCCATCCTTTCTAAGGTAGGTGAAATGAGGACCCAGTTTGTGGGGGCAATAAGCTGACTTTGTATAAATATACAAAAGTATGAAGGCTATTGCTTAACGCACTGTAAGCCGCCCTGAGTCTCCGGAGAAAGGCGGCATATAAATCAAATTTAAAAAAAAAATAAAAAAAAATTAGCTCATTAATAAAACCAAATCCCATATTTCTCTTTAAATAAGGAATCTAAAGTTACAAGACACACAATTCTCAGACAGACACCACCATTTGGCTTTTAAGAGAATTTCATCACAGATCCACACTTTTGGTTGACACTATTGTGTTTAGTTGGAGAGTGGGGCAGGAAGCACCAAATGGGTTGTGTTGGAAAGGCAGGAAGACATTGGCTGAAGATGCCAGAAAAGCAGGTTTAAGAAGGAAGCAGAATTCCAGAGGAGAATGGTTCACCCCAAACATCAGAGTACAGTACTCCAATCCTCTGGATACTTGCAGCTTTAATAGACATGAAAGAAGATCTGGATGAACATTGGAGTCAGATCCTGCTTACACCTTTGTCCGATCCTGGTCTACATGCTGCCTGCAATATAGATAAACTTAATTATTTCCAGGAAAACTCTATGCTTAGATACATCTTTTACTTAGATATGCTACATTCAAGGGGCATTCTGTCATTATTCAGAACCGACACACTAGGAGTATCCTAAACAGTTCAGCTTTCTCCAACTTGATGGCTTGCAGAAGCATTTGTCTGCTCAACAACCATTCTTTCTCCTTAATGACCTCACTGCCAGTGCATAATGGAGCAATGTAGTCCACCTCTTAGAAAGTTAATGTGGTAGATCAGAGGACCTGGATTTTGTCAGGTGGGTTAACATCGCCATCCTCCCTTACCTGCTTTTTTGTCTCATAATTAACCTTCATCTTTTGCTTCCTACCCATAAATCAATGACATCAAGACTCTCTCTAATAACAATTTAGTTCTTTTAATATGCAAAGCCCACCACCAATTCCTATAGGACATCAATTTATGGAAGGAGCATAATCAAAACCAAATAGCAGTAGCTAGACTATGAAATAGCAGCATCAAGAATTCCTCACCTTCTGACCTAGGTGGCCAAGAGGAAGGCATGGAAGGTTCCATCAACCAAAAGAATGAGGAGAAAGAGAAGAAAGGTGAAGAGTAGAAGGAGAAAAAATGAGGCACGGGAAAAAAAGCAACAGCATCCTGGTCCCCATTGCACTGGCTGGGAAGATGTAACAGATGGCTGGAACACAAAAGTCCCAGCCATCCCATGTCCTGTTCTGCCAGTGGGTGAAGATGAGTTAGGTGACTGGGAGAGTTGGCTGGGTTATGCAAATATGGCCAGTGGATGTAAACTAAACATCACAATTGATGTCCCAGATCTCTAAGAGGATTGACATCAGTTTTGAGACCCTTGTTCAACTTATTCAAATACTATACAGTACCTACTTCATAGATTGGCTTCAGCAGCAGAAGAATATAATGGCAAGGAGGTGGAAGTATGATCTGCTATCTTAACCTTGTCCAATGGCCACTCTGTCTAAAGAAGGCCAAGAAGCTAAGTATCAACCCCGAAGCTGAGCTGACCAGAGCCATCTTGGAACTTCAGTGTTGCCACACTGGAGCTGAGGGATAGGGTTGTGTGTCAAAATAAAATACTTTCTTCTGGGAAGCAAGAACATTCTCACACCTGGACCGTGGAAAGAGGAGTGAGGTTACCAGACAAATACACAGTGTCTTGATTGGATCATGTGACTGATTGATTGAGGTTGTGGGAAAACTTTCTTTTAATTAGATGAAAACCATGGGAACGTTCAAAGTCGGTTTTCTGTGGCAATGTGGTATTTCCAATAAAGCTACTCTTTGAGGAATTCACCTGCCTTGGAGTTTTGCTTGCTATTGGATTATTACTTGGAACCCTAACACTAAATTTAGGACTGTGATGGTGCAGTGCAGGGGCAGGTTTCAAAACCCATCGCTACCGGTTCGCTCGTGGGCATTGGAGCTCGCGCGCATATGTGATGCTTCTCCACATGTGCAGAAGTGTCTGGGCAGGTGGGCGGAGCCTCCTGCTGCTGTCGCTACCGCTTGCCCGATCTGGGGTGAACCGGTAGCAATCCACCACTGGTGCAGTGGTTAGAATACAGTATTGCAGGCTAACTCTGCTCGCTGCCATGAGTTCAATTCTGACCAGCTCAAGGTGGACTCAGCCTTCCATCCTTCCAAGATCGGTAAAATGAGGACCCAGATTGTTGGGGGCAATAGGCTGACTCTGTAAACTACTTAGAGAGGGCTGTAAACCACTATTAAGTGGTATATAAATCTAAGTGCTATTGCTACTGCTTAATTACAACACCTCCTTCTTCTCATGTTCTCCAGCAGCTGATATTCAAAAGAAATCTATCTTTTCCTCTGAATGCATCTTAATGCTCCTCATGATTCAGTGGTCTTGATCTTCTTCCTTCAAAAACCTATCTTTAGTTGCCAAAGAGCATCCAGATATTACAGAGTTTGCTTATTCATAAGTGACTCCAGTCATCAAAAGATAGCATAACTGATTATCTGGTACAAATATAATATTATCTGGGCTTTGAGAATCAAAGAGAATCAAACCAGATTTGATTGCCTATCAAATATGTTGGCCTTTCTTCTCCCTTTAGGCACATGTGTTGAGCATTGGATTGGAAAAGGCAATCCTAGACTGTGCTATGAAGGAATCCCGTGGGAGGATTCTCTTAACGAAAGAGAATTTGCTTGGTTCAGACACCATTGCATTGATTGTGATGCCATCTCTGATTCTGAGAAGAGTGACGTAATTCCTGCTGGCTGGGGAAATAGGATGAGCTTAAGAAGGCAGTGGGTCTTCTGAAGGAGAAATCTTCCCTACTGTGCAGACACCTGAGCACTCTGCCTGCAAACCATTGGGACACTATAGAATAGAGTACCAGAGTTGGAAGGGACTTTGGAGGTCTTCTAGTCCAACCCCCTGCTCAGCCAGGAAACCCTATACCATTTCAGACAAATGGTTGTCCAATCTCTTCTTAAAAACTTCCAGTGTTGAGCATTCACAACTTTATGAGGCAAGTTGTTCCACTGGTTAATTGTCCTCACTGTCAGGAAATTTCTTCTTAGTTCTAAATTGCTTCTGTCCTTGATGAGTTTCAAAAGATCAGACTCTATTAGACTTTGTTTTTGCATGTCAAAGCAGAAACTACCAGCCCATTGTTAAAACTTGGAAGTGAGATTTTTATGTTACAACCTCCGCTCCTCACTCTCAGCATTAAGAGTATCCATCAAGTCACCCCATCCTTATAATATTTTTACATTTTTACAAAGCACTGAGTTCTAGCCCATTGCCGTTTCTATTTTCTAAAGCACCTACCATACTTAAAGTCCAAAGTCATATTTGGAGATTTCACAACCGATCAGCTTCCCATTTATTTATTTTCATTAAAATACTCTTTAAAAATAATAAAGTCAAATAGGGCAGAGATTTGGAAGAGTCAAGAATATATTTGTGAGCATGGGCAGTGCATTGCCTGGTTGAAAACATGCAAAACGAAGACCATACAGCCCATAGGAAGGGAGTGAAGTCAGCCAAGAAACAGCCTTATACCTGAAATTTCATGGCCCTTCCCTGAATAAGAGCAGGGAGACTCTCAGCCAAGGGGTGGAAGTGGGGAAGAGAAGTGTTGTATTTAATGAGGTGACTTCCAGTTGTAAATGAAACAGGGCGGGGTATATTGTATGAACTCTGACCCTTGCTGTCCATCTCAGCTTTTATCCGAGAGTTTTATGAGCTGCATAAAGACCCACCACAGCTTGGAGCATCACAATTGGATTTAAAGGGGAAAGGGATGGAGGAGAAACACAGGAGCTCTTGTGAGAAGAGCTCTGTAACCATCTCAGTTACAGAGAAGAAGAAAAAAAAGAAGAGGAGAAAATAAAGCAGGAGGTGGACAACTGAGCAATTTCTTCTAGCCTGTTTCTGAATTAGAGCCTGACGCTACTAACTAACTAACTAACTAACTAACTAACTAACTAACTAACTAACTAACTAACCAACCAACCAACCTTATTTATTTATTTATTTATTTATTGCTTGCTTGCTTGCCTCCAAATTAGTGCCTGACTCGCTTCTAACTTATTTATAGCACTAGCAATAGCACTTAGACTTATATACCACTTCATAGTCCTTATAGACCACTTCAAAGCACTCTCTATGCGGTTTACAGAGTGAGCATATTGCCCCCCAAACAATCTGCGTCTTCATTTTACTGACCTTGGGAGGATGGAAGGCTGAGTCAACTTTCAGCCAGTCAGGATCGAACTTCTGGCAGTTGGCAGAATTAGCCAGCAATACTGCATTCTAACCACTGCTCCACCACAGCTCTTTAGGACAGGGATGGGCAATTAATTTTCCCAAGCCCCAACTGGGACTGTTGTGAAGGGCTGAACCAATAGAGCTGTGAAAGTGTGTAGGCAAACATACGTGCATTCACATACGTACACTTAAATTGAAAAAAATATATAGCAGTCATCTTCAAAATAAAAGCAATCCACAAGGGCCGGACATAGACAGCCAAAGGGCCAGATCTGGCCTGGGGGCAGTAAAATGCCCTGGTCTGGTCCAAGATGTAGGGTTACTTCCCTTAATTAAAAAGAGCCTTGGTGGCACAGCAGGCTAAAGTGCTATTAAGTAGCACCAGCTGCCTGCAATTACTGCAAGTTCAAATCTCACCAGGCTCAAGGTTAACTCAGCCTTCCATCCTTTTCGAGGTAGGTAAAATGCAACATCCCACACGACAGTAATTCATGACTTTTTTGCTGGAAGTTGACACTGATTTCTAGTTTTCAGCAAAAAAATGTCCTTTGCGGACAATGGATTCTCTTAATACCACAATTTGCTTAACAACGACTGCAAAAAGGTCATAAAGTCAGGTGGGATGATCTGGTGATATACTGTACTTAATGACTGGCAGGACGTACGGCCCTAATTTCAGGCTCAGTTATGGTCATAAGTCGAGGATTTACATAGTTACATTTTAAGGAATGCTAAAGCATTAGACATGAGTCGATACATGGAGAAGAGATGCATACATAATCAAGGACTTGACTACTACATTCTAATGGACTTCACAAGCTGCAGAGCATTTGTGAAACTCGCTAAACCAGGCTAAAATGGAGTTGGGTAGTTAGTGGTTCAGGGTTTTATGGGAAATTGAGATATTGTCTTAGCACGTGATATCAGGAACGCCATTGTGGGGTTGTGGTAAGGTATAATGTGTTATATAAACACAGACAGTGTATTTATGGGGTTGAAAATTTCAACCATTGGTGTAATCTGACACAGACAATTATCATCCCTTGCAGCCATCAAGCAGTGTGAAGTTATGCAGCCTTTATACAATCGGTAGTAGCTTGCATCTCTATGAACAAAGAGGAGAGTTGAAAGAAATTCTGTCTAAGCATTCTTCTGTTATTGGAAGGAATGTTTTTCATCCCTTCCTCTCAAAACATTCTTTGATGAAAATGAACTAGATTGAAGTCAGTAGCTGTGCTCGGGGAGCCAATCTGGATTCAATCTTGAGCTTTAGGTTCCCCCTGCAATTCTTCCAGAACACTGCCCTGTTTCTCAGGTTAAATACGAATACAGGTAGTCCTCGACTTATAACCACAATTGACCCCCCCCGAACTTATGTCACTAAGTGAGAAATTTGTTAAGTGAGCTTTGCCCCATTTTATGAATTTTCTTGCCACGTTTGTTAAGTGAATCACTGCGGTTGTTAAATTAGTAATACGGTTGTTAAGTGAATCTGGCTTCCTGATTGACTTTGCTCATCAGAAGGTCTCAAAAGGGGATTGCATGACCCCGGGACACTGCAACTGCCATAAACATGAACCAGATGCCAAGTATCCAAACCAGTGGTGGATTGCTACCAGTTTGGTCCGGATCTTGTGACCCGGTAGTAATGGCGGTGGGAGGCTCCGCCCACCCACCCGGACGTCATCACGGACGCTCTGCGCATGCTCAGAAGCACAGAAGCACCACGCACGAGCAAACCAGTAGTAAAGGTAAGTGGAACCCACCCCAATCCAAACATAAATCACATGACCCTGGAAATGCAGCAATGGACATAAATGTGAAAAATGGTCATACATCACTTTTTCCAGTGTTGTTGTAACTTTGAACAGTCTGTTGTAAGTCAAGGATTACTTGTAGCATGAAATGTTTTGCTGGTGTTCTAAATCTCTCTGGTCCTGCCCAGCTCCATAGCTGACTGGTGTGTCTATTTACCGCTCAATTTGGAGTGGTGCTTTAGGAGCCCTGAGGCACTCAAGGAGTTAAATGGTTTCATGCATTCACAGATGCCCTTTAATGAAACCAACAGGCATGATACGTTTGTTCCCACAATGGGCCAGGCCCCAGGGAGGAGTTGAGCTCCCCCGCAGCTCTTC